TGTGTGTGTGTGTGTGTGTGTGTGTGTGTGTGTGTGTGTGTGTGTGTATGTGTATGTATGTATTACGTATGTGTGTGTATGTATATATGTATAGTCTGTATATATGTGTGTATATGTGTACATAGTGTCCCTTTCTCCTCTGCTCTCACACTCTGCCCCCGGGGCCTCCTGTACACCCGTGCCCATGACTACTCAGGACATCCATCCCTGGCCTCTGCTGCTGCGGTCTGACCTCTAGGGCTCCTGGCTGACAGCTGGGGGCGCTCTCCTCGAATGGCCCCATTTTAGTCTGCTGAACCCCCCTACTTCCCCACCCGTACCCCTTGGCTCTGTTCTTCCTTATTTTCAGTATTGATTAGGCCTATCACCAGGAAAACAGATGCCTAAACTAGGTACCTGTAGTGACGTGGGGGACAAACTAGGAAGAAACAGTGAGGACATCCAGTGGCCTATTGGGAAGGTGTCGCTGTCACCCTAGCAGTTTAGACAGGGAGGCAGCGTGGCTTTGTGATGCAGCAGACAGGAAGTGACGGGGAGGTGGTGAGGTAGGCTGGCGTATGTCTTGGAGAGCAGAGGCAGGAAGATGGTGATTTTGCGGCCAGCCTAGGCTAGACAGAAGCTGCTGCTGCTGGTGGGTGGCTGCCTTTCTTCAGCCCAGCGTGAGGCCAAGGGGGTAAAGTGGCTGCCCACTGTCTGCAGCCCAGACCAGTCTGTCACAGGGAACATGGGCCTTACCTGGGCTCCTGTCTTGACTCCATCCTTTAACAGCTTTGTGGCTTGACCTCCCAGCATGTCCCAACAGCTCTCTTTCCTGCCTCTTTTAGAATTTCATTTATTTGGTTGGTTGGTTGGTTTTTCAGGACAGGGTTTCTCTGTGTAGCCTTGGCTGTCCTGGACTGACTTGGTAGACCAGGCTGGCCTGGAACTCACAGCGATCTGCCTGCCTCTGCCTCCAAGGTATACGTCAGTCTTGGGAGTGCTGGGGTTAAAGGCGTGCACCACCCTTCCCGGCGAACTCCTGCCTCTCCTGCTGGCATTTCTCAGGTGCTGTGATTATAGGTGTGTGCCACGATACCCAGCTTCCTGTTTGTACTTTCAGATACTCTCTAGAGCAGTGGCCCTCAGCCTTCCCAACTCTTTAATACAGCTCCTCATGTTGTGGTGACCCCCCCAACCATAAAATTATCTCACTGCTACTTCATAACTGTAATTTTACTGCTGTTATGATCGCTACTGTTATGAATCGTAATATAAATATCTTCTATGTGGAATATTCAATATGCAACTCCCAAAGGGTTCAAGACCCACAGGCTGAGAACCCACTGCTCCAGAGCATTCCTGCAAACCAGGTCCCACACTTGTGGTTGTTCAGCTTCCTAGCTCTCTCCCCCAGACTGCCACTCCTCGCTCTGGATGCTGTGTGGCTCCGTGGTAGGGCACTTGCTCGGCATTCATATAGCTCTGATATATTTATTTATTATGTATACAGTGTTCTGTCTGCTCGCCAGAAGAGGGCACCAGATCTCATGATAGATGGTCATGAAGCACCATGTGGTTGCTGGGAATTGAACTTAAGACCTCTGGAAGAGCAGCCCAGTGCTCTGAACCTCTGGGCCATCTCTCCAGGCCAAGGCCCTGACTTGATCCACAGCAGTATGGGCCTCCCAGAGAGGGGTGCTGGGGGCTCTGGTGTGCAGAGCACCAGCTTTGAAGCCTGGGACCCCAGCATGAACTCCACATGGCCCTTCTTCCCCTGTAGGACATTACCCCGCTCCAGGTGGTTCTGCCCAACACTGCCCTGCATCTGAAGGCCTTGCTGGACTTTCAGGATAAGAATGGAGACAAGGTCATGGCGGGAGACGAGTGGCTGTTTGAGGGACCTGGTGAGTTACGTCTCCATCTCCTGGGGTTTGTCTGGGCCGGGGCTTCCTGCCTCTCTACCCTAACCCTGACGCCTTTCACTGTCAGCATTGGCTTCTTCCTCCTCTCCCAGGCACCTACATCCCCCAGAAGGAGGTGGAAGTTGTGGAGATCATTCAGGCCACAGTCATCAAGCAGAACCAGGCGCTGCGGCTGCGGGCCCGCAAGGAATGCTTTGACCGGGATGGCAAGGACAGGGTGACAGGTGGGCTCAACAAGGGTTCCTGCTGCCGGGTGGGCAGGAAGGGCCCTCCCTGCAGGGCAAGCAGAAGGGCTCAGGTGACGCCAGGGCAGGGTTCTTCGCTGGTGTGTGTGTGTGTGTGTGTGTGTGTGTGTGTGTGTTTTCACTCATGTACACATGTATGCGAGTCTGGCTGTTTGTCTGTCTTTTTTTTTTTTTTAAGATTTATTTCTTTTATGTGTACGAGCGCTCTATCTGCATGCACACCTGCATGCCAGAAGAGGGCACCGGATCACATTATAGATGGTTATGAGCCATGATGTGGTTGCCAGGCATTGAACTCAGGACCTCTGGAAGAGCAGACAGTGCTCTTAACTATTGAGCCATCTCTCCAGCCTCCGTGTCTTTTTGTTTTTTAAAATGGGCTTTGGAGACAAGGTTTCTCTGTGTGGACCAGGCTGGCCTGGAACTCAGAGATCACCTGCTTCTGCCTCAGCTGGGATTAAAGGTGTGAGCCACTCACCACTGCCCAGCCTGTATCTGTCTTTCATTGTTCTTGTTGTTATGTTTAAGAATAATATATATATATATATATATATATATATATATATATATATATATTCATCATCTTATTTTCATGTGTATGGGTGTTTCGTCTTCATGTATGTCTGTGTACCATGGAGGCCAGAAAAGGTTGTCAGATCCCCTAGAACTGGAGTTACAGACAGTTGTGAGCCACCATGTGGGTGCTGGGAATTGAACCTAGGTCCTCTGGAAGAAGAGCTGGTACACTTAACCACTGAGCAATTTCCCCAGGTCTGTTGTTTTCGAGACAGTGTCTCAAGTAGCCTTGACGAACTGGTATTCATCACGTAGTCCATGGTGACCTCAAACTCATGGCAATCCTTCTGCCTCAGCCTCCTGAGTGCTGGGAGTATAAACGCATCCCCATGTGCGGCTTCTCCTGGTATCTCTTGAGCTGTTGAGGTCTGCCTGCTGCCTCTCGAAAACCCACTTCCATGCCGGCCTTGAGCCTGAGCTCACACCATGCTAACACAGTCTTACCTTCCCCATCTTCAATGTCAGCTGTGGCCAGTGGTTCAAGATCGCCAAGTGGGATGTTCCAATACATTGACCGGATATTGGTTCAAAATGGTGGATAGCATTTTATTTAGTCCCCCGATAAGAGTGAGAGTCAGCAGTTTTCTCCATCCAAGACTGAAGCACTGGCCCAGGTGTGTGGCCAGGCAGGGAGAGACTAGGACTTGCTGCTGGGCATGCATGTTGCTCAATAAACAAAATGTCATTCCTGGGCCTAATGGAGGCCCTTCTTCTGCCCATGGCAGGAGCATGAAAAATCAGCGTTTGGTGCTTAGAGATGGCACCACAGGGGTAGTGGTAACAGTGACTTGGCATTCTAGAAGGGCCCTAGTGGGTTTTTGGGTTTTGTCTTTTGTGACAGGTCTCCCTGTGTAGCCCAGGTTAGCCCAAAACTCCCACTCCTCTCACCTCAACCTCCTCAGTGCTGGGATGGTGGGGCTGTGCCACCAGGCCCAGCCTCTAAAAGTCTGTCTGTTTGTTTGTTTGTTTGTTTGTTAATTCTTCAGGGATAGAGGTCGGTTTTCCCCTGGCCTCATTGAAAGCAGGACCTTGCCAAGCGCTCATCTCCGGGGGCAGTGGCGTTTCTTTGCCTTCAAACCCCAGATGGTCTGTTATCTGGGCTGTGGAGACGTGATGGCGGCCGCCTGGCTGTGCTTGACTCTTCCTTTCTGCTCACGCCGCAGGTGAGGAGTGGCTGGTCCGGTCCGTGGGTGCGTACCTCCCAGCTGTGTTCGAAGAGGTGCTGGATCTGGTGGACGCCGTGATCCTGACAGAAAAGGTTTGTGTTCGGTGCGGGGAGGGAAGCTGGCGTTGCTCAGAGGCAAAGGACGCTCAAGCAAAGGTCAGGCATCTTCCCGACGGTCACTAGGGAAATCCGGTCCCGTGTCCAGAGGAGGGTCCTGGGGCATCCTCCAGGGCAGGTAGGTGTTGCCAGAGCCAAGGTGCCAGCCAGCAGAGGGGAGGTGGAGGGAGGGCTCTGCAAACACCCCCATGTCTTTCCCTGCAGACAGCCCTGCACCTCCGGGCTCGGCAGAACTTCAGGGACTTTCGGGGAGCGGCCCACCGCACGGGGGAGGAATGGTTGGTGACTGTGCAGGACACAGAAGCCCACGTGCCAGATGTCTATGAGGAGGTGCTGGGAGTGGTACCCATCACCACGCTGGGGCCGCGACACTACTGCGTCATCCTTGACCCAATGGGACCGGATGGCAAGAACCAGCTGGGACAGAAGCGTGTTGTCAAGGTGAGCCGCTCCCCTCCCTGGAGCCTGTGAGCGACAGGAGGCCTTCGGATCGCTCTCCCTTCACTTCTTCCACACAGCGCAGGCGTCCTAGAAACACCTTCAGCGCTTTTGTACACTTAGCTCTATATTCCTGTCGTACCGTCCTATCCGGTTCCCCCAGGGGCCTTGGGCTCCCCCCTGAAGTTCCTGGGACTGGCTCCTCCGTGTTCTTTCATGCAGCACCAGCCAGCTTTAGCCCTTCAGGCTTCAGACCCTCGGGTGTAACATTCTGTACAAAGGAGCCACTCTCCTTCCCCATTCTCCCTGTGAAGATCATATGTAGACCAGGCTGACCTTTAACTCACAGAGATCCACCTGCCTCTGCCTCCCTGAGCGCTGGGATTACAGGCGTTCACTGCTGTGCCTGGCTGAGATGGTCTCTTAAAAAGAAAAACAAGGGAGCTGGAGAGATGGCTCAGAGGTTAAGAGCACTGTCTGCTCCTCCAAAGGTCCTGAGTTCAATTCCCAACAACCACATGGTGGCTTACAACCATCCATAACGGGATCTGGTGCCCTCTTCTGGCCTGCAGGCACACATGCAGTCAGAACACTGTGTACATAATAAATAAATAAATCTTTAAAAAAAGAAAAAGAAAAACAAGAGAAGGATGAGGGAGGTAGCGAAAGTCAAAACAATCCCTGTAGAACCCTTGCAAATCGGCTGCAACTGAAATGTCAATCATCAGAAAAGAAAAATATAGCTGTGAATTTGAATTTAGGCTACACAGCAAGACCCCTTCTGGGAGTGGGGTGTGTGAAAAAGCCAGTGAAGCGTATAGCTGTAGTCTCAGCTACTTGGGAGCTGAGACAGGAGTCCGGAAGTTCAAAGCCAGTGTGGTCCCATATCCATCATAGCTAGCAGGTCAGATTTGACTCTCAAGACCAGAGTTTGCCCATCCTGAAACTCCGTCTTTGTCAAGAAAACAAACCGTGGGAGAAATGAAAAGCATATATAATTTCTTCGTGACCATTTTGTTTTCTTTGGAGACCCTTTGTCTTGGGTTCTCACTCAGGATGACTCTCCTCCTTTAGCCTGCCAAGTGCTGAGAGTACAGACATGTACAGCCGGTTTAGGGTAATGTTCTTTCTTTCTTTTTTTTTTTTTTTCCTTTTATGGTTTTTTTGAGATAGGGTTTTTCTGTGAAGCCCTAGCAGTAGCCCCTGGCTGTCCTGGAACTCACTCTGTAGACCAGGCTGGCCTATAGAGCCTATACTAAGAGATCCGCCTGCCCCTGTCTCCCGAGTGCTGGGATCAAAGGTGTGTGCCGCCACTGCCCAGCCACACAGGGTAATTCTTAACTGTTTAGCTTGAGGTCCTAGGTCCTGATCATTTACAAATTTGACCACACACAGAGATACTGTGATTGGAGAGTCCTTTGGGCTTCTGTCTTCAACACAAGCCCGGTACAGCCTGGTGAAGGGAAGACCTGGCTCAAGGTCATGCCATCAGTGACAAACCAGAAGGCTGTGTCAGTGTGGCTGTCCTGTAGGCCTGAGTGGCGCCATGATCTAACCTCCCCTTTTCCCCACCAGGGAGAGAAGTCCTTCTTCCTCCAGCCTGGGGAGAGGCTGGAGCGAGGCATCCAGGATGTGTACGTGCTGTCAGAGCAGCAGGGGCTGCTGCTGAGGGCCCTGCAGCCCCTGGAGGAGGGGGAGGATGACGAGAAAGTCTCCCACCAGGCTGGAGACCGCTGGCTCATCCGTGGGCCCCTGGAGTATGTGCCATCTGTGAAAGTGGAGGTGGTGGAGGAGCGCCAGGCCATCCCTCTGGACCAAAATGAGGGCATCTATGTGCAGGATGTCAAGACTGGGAAGGTACCAGCTGGGAGACGGGCGGCACCAGGGGTGACTTCCTCTGGGCAAGGAGGTGATGCTAACGGGAAGAGGCAGGTGGGGAGAAGGCTCCAGCAGCATACACAGCAGCGGCCGGGCAGCCGGCTGGCAGATGTGAGGCCATTTCATACTTCATTTGCTACCTAATTTTACGTCTTAGAGACTCCAGCCGAGATAATGAGCTCTGCTTCGGGACTGGGGTTCTGCCCTACTGCAGATGTGGTCCTGTCACAAAGGTCCTATGGGAATACAGCCCACATCTCGGTAGAGTCTTGCTGCCTCACCTAAAACCTTGACCTTGGTTTTACCGAGGATTATGTTGCCAACCCTTTCCCTGAGAATCTTAACACAGAGCCCTGGGCAGGGTTAATGTATGTGAGGGGCTTCCCAGGACCAACACCTGTGCCTGTGATCTCCATCAATGCTGCCCCGGCAAGGAAACCCTAGGAAAAATAGCAAGCATCTTACTTCGCACCAAGTGCTGTTCTTTGCATTAGGCCTGTGAACCCTTCCTCATTTCCTGACCCCAGAGGGCCCATCGTACAGACCAGGAAAGGGAAGCTTAGCTCGAGAAGACACCTAGCAGGTGGCAGCCGATCTTGGGTACAGTCTTCCTGCAGAGATTGCCTTTAACCAGGACACCGTGGGCCCCCTGAGCGGGGTCGGCTCAGGCCTCCCTCTCGGAAAACACCTTTCCTAGGTGCGGGCTGTGATCGGGAGCACCTACATGCTGACTCAGGATGAAGTCCTGTGGGAAAAGGAACTGCCTCCCGGCGTGGAGGAGCTGCTGAACTTGGGGCATGACCCTCTGGCAGATAGGGGTCAGTCGGGCATAGCCAAGGCCCTTCAGCCCTCAGCTCCAAGGAACAAGACCCGGGTGGTGAGCTACCGCGTCCCACACAACGCTGCGGTGCAGGTGTATGACTATAGAGCCAAGAGAGCACGGTGAGCCGGGGTGAGCCGGGGTGAACCGGTGGAAGGCCTCTGCCGGGTCCTGAGTGACCCTCTCGGGGCGTCTGACTCCCGCCTCTTTCCACAGCGTGGTCTTCGGGCCCGAGCTAGTGTCACTGGATCCTGAGGAGCAGTTCACAGTGTTGTCCCTTTCTGCCGGCCGGCCCAAGCGTCCTCACGCCCGCCGTGCACTCTGTCTGCTTCTGGGACCGGATTTCTTCACTGACGTCATCACCATTGAAACAGCAGACCATGCTAGGCTGCAGCTGCAGCTCGCCTACAACTGGTGAGGCTGGGCTCCCAGGGGTCAGCTTTAGAGACGAGGAGGGCACATGCCTGCCAACTCAGACCGAAGGCCCACCCGAGGGAAGCTAGGAAGTAAGGGGAGGGGGCGAGACCGAGCCTTCTAGGATGAGGGCTTCAGGGGCCCCAGTACCAGGAGACTGGCTAGCCACACCTCTGGTGATTTATCATTGCAAGGTTTTTGGTTTGGTTTGGTCTTGGTGTTTTTGAAACACAGTCTCGCTGCAGCTCTGGCTGTCCTGGAACTCAGGATGTAGACTGGGTGACCAGGCTGCTTCAGACTCATAGACTCACTCTATATAGTCTCTATATATAGTCTGTATTCGCACATACCAGAAGACAAAATCAGATCCCATTACAGGTGGTTGTAAGCCACCATGTGGTTGCTGGAAATTGAACTCAGGACCTCTAGAAGAGCAGTCAGTGCTTGTAACCTTTCGGTTTTTTTCCAGACAGGGCTTCTCCATGTAGCCCTGGCTGTCCTGGACTTACTTTGTAGACCAGCCACAGAGACCCGCCTGCTTCTGCCTCCCCAAGTGCTGGGGTCACAGGCGTACGCCACCACACCCTGGCTGCCTGTAGGTTTTTTGTCGTCGTTGTTGCTGTTTTTCTGAAAAGAAAAACATGATTTTAAATATCTCCATTTCTTATCTATGCATAAGTGTCAGAGTTCTCAGTCAGACTTGAAAACTCTTTTGAACAAGTCCTTGACGATCTCCTCATCTTCTTGGTGACCGTGATATCCCTTTGATCAAAACCGGGGTCAGAGGGGCATACAAAAAGAACACCTTCCTGCAAGGTTTTTGAAAAGGACGGTTTTTCACAACCAGTGAGCATGAACACAAGGCAGAGCACCTGCCCCAGAATGCCCGGCTGGGTCCTGTCCATGCTGTGCTGTTTGCTGTCTGGGCTCAGACAGGGAATGTTGTGTTTTCCTCCTTTTCCCTAGCTGGAGAAAGAAGGTAATGGGGTGTGATCAAAATGCATTATATATGTCTATGAAATTGTGAAATAGTAAATTAAAAAAAAAAAAACTATTTTTCATAAGAGCTAGCAAAGGGCCACGACAGCTCAGTGGTTAAAGGTGCTTGCTGCACAGAACCTGGCACCCTGTGTTCCATCCCCAGAGCCCACAGCAAGGTGGACTGAGATAAGTGATTCCACAGAGTTACCCTCTGACCTCCACAGGAGGGCCATGGCAATGCCCCTCTATGCTGTGCTCACAAACACACACAGTAAGATTTTTATTTTAAATGAATGGCTAGAAGCCAGGTGGTGGCAGTGATACTCACCTTTAATCCTAGCACTAGGGAGGCAGAGGCAGGCAGGCCTGTGAGTTCAAGGCCAGCCTGGTCTACAGAGAGAGTTCCGGAACAGCCAGAGCTACACAGAGAAACCCTGTTTCGGGGGGGGGGGGGGGCACATGGCTGTAATCCTGTTCTCCGGAGGAAGACATAGGAGGATCAGGTGTTCAAGGCCAGTGGCAGCTGAAAGAGCTCAAAGCCAGCCTGTGTCTCCTGTGTGAGGCCCTGTCTCAAAGAGTCATGTGGAGGACTGTTCAGCAGACTCTGAGCACGGTTCCTGGCCCTCACCTTGTGGTGGAGAAGAGCTAGCTAGCACTGTGACCAGGGTAGACAGGGTGATAGCCCAGTGACAGTTAAGCACACAGGCCTAGGGCCAGCCATCTTGCCTGGATTCCGAGTTTTGACTTGCCACATATGGTGACCTTGGACTTAAGACCCAAAACCCTCTATTTCCTCTTCTGTAAAATGGGAGAATATGAATCTCCACCCTAAGGACTCTGGGAGGATTTAATGGGAACCTAGGTGCTTGCTGGGCACAAGTTAACATCTCCATTGTAGGATCTGCCGTTCAGGCCCAGAGGAGGGCTCTGAAATCCTGCTCAGGAAGGGTATTACTTCCTGTGAGAAATAGCTTCCCCACTCTGGGCCTCTTTGTCCACAGGCACTTTGAGCTGAAGAACCGAAATGACCCCGAAGAGACGGCCAAGCTTTTCTCCGTGCCTGACTTCGTGGGTGACGCCTGCAAGGCCATTGCGTCCCAAGTCCGGGGGGCCGTAGCCTCTGTCACCTTTGATGACTTCCATAAGAACTCGGCTCGTATTATCCGCACGGCTGTTTTCGGCTTCGAGATGCCCGAAGACGCAGATCCCGATGGCACGCTCCTGCCCAGGGCACGAGACCGGGCGATCTTTCCCCAAAACGGGCTGGTGGTCAGCAGTGTGGATGTACAATCAGTGGAGCCTGTGGACCAGAGGACCCGGGACGCCCTGCAGCGCAGTGTCCAGCTAGCTATTGAGATCACCACCAACTCCCAGGAGGCAGCAGCCAAGTGAGTGGGCCGGGGGCAGCATTAAGGTGCCAGGACCTTAATGACGTGGCATCCATCAGTGGTCTGCCTGCTGCCATGTGCTTCCACAAGGGTCTATGCTCTGCCCAGCATGACTGTTAGAATGGCAAGCAGGAGGGCCTCCCTGCTCCTAAGGCTTCCCATCCTTTCCAGGGCCTTCCAGGCTCCCCAGGAGAGTCTGGCCTCCCTGGCCCCTACTTTCAGCTTGGTCCCACCTTGGACCTTTGCAACTTCTTCGCCCACTGTACTCTCTCAGCCTCAAGGTCACCTCCTTGGAGAGCCCTTTCCTTTCTCTTGCAACTGTTGGAATGCCCTCTTTCCCTGCTCACCCACTTGCTCCCAGGTACTCCTCAGTGTCCAAAAGCACCCTAGCTTATTTTCTCCCCATGGGAGAGTGCTTCCAGCGACAGCAGAGACACCAAACCTAGAGCCACATCATGGCTGCCTGCAGCTTGCTCACTGTTCTGGGTCCAGGCGCATGCTGAGCGCGTGGGGATGGGGACAGGCTCAGTCTCTACTCCAGGTGCTGCTTTCTCCCACACCTGCATCTCACCTGGCCCTGCTTTTACCCAGGCATGAGGCTCAGAGACTAGAGCAGGAAGCCCGTGGCCGGCTTGAGAGGCAGAAGATCTTGGATCAGTCAGAAGCTGAAAAAGCCCGGAAGGAACTTTTGGAGCTTGAGGCCATGAGGTGGGTCAAGAAATGGAGGTGGAAAGACTGGCCAGTCTTGGGGGGGAAGGGGGAGGGTCTTGCAGCTGCTGGCTCAGGTAGGGGTGGGGGTGAGAGGCAAGCAGGGCCTGCTTTGAGGGAGGCCAGAATCAGGGAGCCAGAAGGGCTAGGAGGTGGCTTAGTGGCAGAGCACTTGCCTAGCATGCACAAGGCCCTGGCCTCCATCCCATTATTGGGGGAAAGTGAACACGGGTGGCCCAGCAAGATTACAGTGGGTGAAGGCGCTGGCTGCCAAGCCTGATGCCCGAGTTCCCTGGGCCCCACATGGTGGAAGCAGAGAACCGATTCTCACAGGTTGTCTTCTGACATGCTTGTGCCATGGTGTCGTGTCTCCTGTCCCCCTCCCCCCATCTTCAAGCCCCTGGGCGGGTGGGCTTCTCTTCTGGGCCTTCCCCAACTCTGTTTCCCCTGCAGCATGGCTGTGGAGAGCACCGGGAATGCCAAGGCGGAGGCTGAGTCCCGCGCAGAGGCAGCGAGGATCGAGGGAGAGGGCTCCGTGCTGCAGGCCAAGCTAAAGGCACAGGCATTAGCCATTGAGACGGTAGGTTGAGGGGCTGCTGCTGGAAGAGCGGGGCCTGGAAGAGGCCTGCTCACTAAAGGCACTGAAACCACACGGGGCGGCACCGGAGTGGCCTGAGAGCACTGCCCAAACTCCCCGTGGTCTGCAATGCCCTGCAGCAATGCTCTTAGTATAGTCCCCGAAGACAGGGATCATTAAGGCCATTCCACCACTGAGCGCTTTGTTGTGTCTTTTGCATCTGTGACCCCATTTCATGGGAGGTATGTGTCACCTCCGTTTTATGCCAAGGCTTGAATCAGGGGACCCCCTTCTCAAGAGTCACTAGCTAAACAGTGGAATGGCTAGGATTTGCACCCGAGGTTCCCTTCTGCCTCAGTTCCCTCAGGGTTGCTGGCCTGGGTGACTTGCTGGACAGTTCCTGGGCCATGTGACCTAAGGCCAGCCTCATCTTCCCCTTCCAGGAGGCTGAGCTGGAGCGAGTGAAGAAAGTAAGAGAGCTGGAACTGCTCTATGCCAAGGCCCAGCTGGAGCTGGAGGTGAGCAAAGCCCAGCAGCTTGCCGACGTGGAGGCAAAGAAGTTCAAGGAGATGACAGAGGCTCTGGGGCCTGGCACCATCAGGGACCTGGCTGTGGCTGGGCCTGAGATGCAGGTGAGAACAGAAAAATGCAGGAGCAGGGTGGGTGTTTAGGAGGCAACCATGCTTGGGGAGACGTTGGAGGATGGAAAGGGCTGAGAGCGACCGGTCCCCGTGCCCTGGAGCACCAGACACCGCCCTAGACCCTGCTAGGGGCACAGTGACAGACGAGTGCCTCAGAGAAAGCCCAGAAAGGCGATGGGATGAAGGTGACGGAGGCACTTCAGAAACCACTTGGTTGGGCACCCCCTCAATCCCTGCTCTATCTGTGTCTCTGCACATCTTGTAGGCGGGGTAAATTTTGAGGGGAAGTTTTGTGGGTGGGTTGGTGTTTCCTGCCCTTTACTAGAAGACTAATCTAGTTAGAGGGTGCCCTCTTCAGTCTCTGTGGCCTCTGCTACTAGAAATCTGGCCTTGAGTGGCCCTCAGATCCTCCCAGGAGCCTACCCTGACTTAGGTCTCCAGCTTGTCACAGAGATGTCCCCATCCTCAGTTTCACCTTTCTGTCCTCTTGGCTCTCCCCTCCCCCCCACCCCCAGGTCTGATCTCCACCCTCTTAACTCTCTGCACCCCCTCTCCCATCCAACCAAAGACCCACCCCATTGGAGGGTGCCAGCCCCTGACACTATGAACAATATTCTGCTAAGCTTGCAGACAGGAGCCTGTCAGAGTTGTCCTCTGAGAGGCTTTATGTCCCGTCCCGCGGGACTTAGTTATTCGTGGGGGTGAAGGGGGTCAATCCTGAAAAAGATGGGGGAGAGAGAGAAAGGACACAAGCAGACGGTTGCTGGTCAAGTGTCCCCTTTATTGAACTTTGGTGTTTCTTTTAAAACGTGGTTTTGGCAGGGCGGGGGAGAGGGGCGAGAAAGGGAAGTAGTAGTGGAAAAATACCAAGACCCTTGGTGGGAAGTTCCCAAGGCTAAGAAGGTGGGTTAAAGAGTTACAAGGCCTGAAGATAACATCGGTGGTCACATCGGTGGTCACGGATGTGTCCCAAAGCAAACAGTTTTGGAAACAATGGGTTGTAAGAAGCTATGGCCTGCTGGCGCCCGGTGCTTATCTGGCAGGTCAGGCCCTTAGGAAGGGTCCCAGGGCTTTGTTCCCAACAGCTTTACCCAGCAGCCCCTCAAAACAGACGATGAGACTCAGAGCCAAACACTGGTCGACACATAGGGAGTCTTAGGGAATAGTGGGAGGAAAGAGAAAAGGACCCAGAAGTGACAGGAGCTCCACAAGAAGACCAACTAACAAAAGAGCCAAATAACCAGGGCCCAGAGGGGCTTGCTGAGACTGAAGCATCAACCAAGGACCATGCAGGAACTGGACCGAGGCCCCTACAAAGATGTAGCAGATGGGCAGCTTAGGCTTCAAGTGGGTCCTCCAGTAAGGACTCACTTGGCAGCTTTTAGTTCACTTCCCCCTGGTGGGACCGCCTTGACAGGCCACAGGGGAAGAGGACAGGTTCAGTCCGGAAGCAATTGGATGAGCTGGGGTGGATGGGAAAGGGAGCTCCCTTTTTCTGAGGAAAAGGGGAAGGGGAGGGCGGGGCTGGGAGGAGAGGAGGGAAGGGGCTACAGGGATATAAAGTGAATAAAATAAATAAATGAAAAACCACACAAACACAAAAACCGCTTGGTTTAGCAGGGCTGCTCTGAAGGTCAGCACCCTGGAGAGGCAGCTGTGATAAGTGGCCAGTCTTCTTGCCTGACTTTATCCTCCTACCTTGCAGGTGAAGCTTCTTCAGTCCCTGGGCCTGAAATCCACTCTCATCACAGATGGCTCTTCTCCCATCAACCTCTTCAACACAGCCTTCGGGCTGCTGGGACTGGGGCCTGATGGTCAGCCACCTGTACAAAAGTGATCATCACGGCAGCTCAGGAAGGCCTGCTTTCCCAGGCTCTCTGAGGCAGCCATGCCTTAGGTCAACACGGACTGTGCTGACAGCGGGTACAATAAAATGACAACTCTAGGCATTCAAGCTGTTTTTCTCTTTCCTGTAGGCCAGGTGGCGGAAACAGGGAGAAAACTAACCTGAAGCCACAGTGATAAGCATGAAACCGTGGCCTTTCAAGCCTGTGGTCCTTCAGTCGGCAGCTTTTAGACTTGGTGGGAGGGTTCACATCTGGGACCCCTCCGCACTTGCCACAGCTCCCAGCTGGCTTTTCCAGGAATCCTGGCCACCTAGTTGAGGAGCCAGCCTCAGGCTGCAGAGCCCACTCGCTCAGCCTGCCGTTGCAGCCTACCTACCATTTGGCACCACCTGCCGGCCTCACCGGCAGCCTGCAGTACCAGCAGGTGTGGCAGGCCTGCACGAGGCACCCGTGTACTTGTTCCCTACTGAAAAAGGCCAGGTGGAGCTTTAGGCCTGGCCCATCGCCACCGTGGAAGTAAAATGATCCTGAGGCGGAGAGAAAAAATTGGCCCGGTCCCGTGTGTCTGTGAAGGTGACGGACTTAGCTTCTCCGATGGCCTTCCTTTTGTGAAATGGGCCCATGGATCCCAGCTAAGCAAGGCTGGTGATAAGTTTTTGTTCCTCTTTCTTCACTAGAGCCTCATCTCTCTTCTGAAGTGCATGTGTGTGCTCAGTGCTGCTGCAAAAGCCTGGATTTGAGGCCAGGGCTCTGCCTGGATTAACTCACAGCACTCATTAACTCAGCCTGGCTTGCTGTGTGAGCCCCTACCTCTACCCCGACCTTCCGGAGTTCCTCAAGAGAACTGATTCATTTAAAGCCCAGCTGGTACCTGCTGCCTATGACCAAGGGCCTCTGAGGATAAGAAAGACTGTATAGATGGTGGCTGTTTCTTCAGGTCTCAGCTATGGGTTCCCATGGCTGTCCTTTGACTGCTCTTTGATTGTCAAGAACCACAGCACCCTGGAAAACTTCATTTGCTCACTGCCAACCTTGGATCCTGGGCTCTGTCCCTACAATTCAACCAGAACCTGACTCAACTCCCCTATCTTCCTAAGCCTTGTGATGCTAGGTGGGAAAAGTGCTCCCCTCCCCCACCGTCCTGTGTTAGGCATAGAACCCAGGACCCTGCAAATGCCCCATCACTGAATCATATCCCTGGCATTTAGTTTTTGTTTTTTTGCCTCTTTTCCCTTCCTCCATCTTGCTCCCTCCTCCCCCCTCCCTCCCCTCCTTTGAGACAGGGTCTGACCATGAACTCAGTCTCCTTGCCTCACTACTGTTAGAATCACTGGCATGTGACACCTGTTGTCCGCCTGCTCCCTCCTCCCCTCTGTAACCCCAAACCAACTGCTGTTCCTGGAGAAGACCCCGGCATGTGGCCAGTCTCATTTTAGACTCCAGCCACAATCTCCAGGGAGCCCTGCTTCCCCTGACTAGCCCTCCCTTCAGAACAACTATTCATACTCTTCTTCTCACCCTCCTCCTCCCCTGCCCACTTTTTCTCACCTCTTTGAAAAAAAAATAGAAGCAAATTGGGCAGGAAGGCTTTCTGCTTCCCGAAGCAGATACCACAAAAGCAGCTGAACCCTGTGTGCTCAGCACTGTGCCCACCAAGGGCCCTGATCCTGCTCGTCTTGTGAGAGCTGACTCCTGAGCTCTCCTACCTCTGCAACAACTAACCTCTTCCTCTTTTGGGCCCCAGTTACTAGTCTATGAATTCCTTCAACTCTATGGCACATAAAACAAACAGGTGCTGGGGGGTGATGGTGCACACCTTTAATCCCAGCATTTGGCAGGCAGAGGCATCTTTGTGAATTCGAGGCCAGCCTGGCCTACAGAGTGAGTTCTAGGAAAGCCAGAGCTACAGAGAAACCCCATCTCAGAAAAAAACAAAACAAAATCATTCCTTGTTAGGAGCATATGGATCTGGGTTTGGATTCAGAGCACCCACATAAAGGACAGCTGTTAAAGGGATGGAGAGATGGCTCGGTGGCTAAGAGCATGGACTCCTCTTCTGAGAGTGACCCAGGATCAATTCCCAGCACCCACATGGTAGCTTACAACCGTCTGTAATTTCAGATCTGGCACCTTCACACAATCATACATGCAGGCAAAATACCAATACAAAAAAAAAAAAAAAACAAAAACAAAAAACTATGGCTGTGCTTTAAGACTAACTCCCACACTGCAAAGGGTGGAGACAGGATTGCTGGGGCTTGCTGGCCAGCTGGCCTATCCATAGAACTGCAGGCTGTAGACTCACTGAGACCTTCTCAGGGGACTAGGTGGAAAGTAATAGGGCAGGACGCCAAACCTTCCTCTGGCCTAAGTGCCCGAGTCTTCCTGCCTTTTCCTCTGCTCTCGTTTCTTCCCGGCAGATTCCCCAGTGCTCCAGGCTCTCGGCTCCCATTCCCCACACCTCATTGCTTTTCAGGCTGCTGTAGTAGTCAGTCTCCAGTTCTTCCTTTAGAGGCATCACAGTGATCTATTCAGTTCCGTCACACTGGGCTCCCTTGACCACAGTCTAGCTTTCTTTCTGCCTCACCATTGGCCGGTGCTGTCTTTTCTACACAACCCTCAAGGCAAGTCCCTCCCCTATGCCCCCAAATCTTTTCTCCTACCTACATTCCCAGTTGGCACCACTGGCTTCAGAATCCACTTCCCCAGCCTTACTGTCACCCCTGACCTCTGGGTTCACTTCTACTTGACCTCATGTCTCCGCATGGATGCATAGTGCCCGTCACATTGCTCGTGTGATCTGGTCTAGACAATGAAATGGTGGGGACAGAACACCATCACTATACCCTTTTCTCTTTTCCACATAAGACCAGTAATATCCCACGTACATGCTATTCCATCGGCCTGCATCCTAGATGGAAAACGGCATCAAGGTAAACCATGGGAAACCACCCAGACGAGGGCTGGAAGGAAAAGTGTACGCCAGCTGAAAGGCTGGGCGGGGCTGCTAGCCTGGCCTGACTACTCTTTGTACTCCGTAGGGCTCACAGCCCCAGGCAGAAGAGAAATCACTCTAAACTGTACGCAATGGAGAGGCCCAGGAAGACACCTCACTGAAAATGCAGCAAGGGTCCCTGCTCACACAGGAAGCAAATCCCAGTCAGTTAGTAAATTTACCCATAAACTGCCCAGAAGAGAGAGGAGATGTGGCCACTGCTGAATTTCAACACAAGCCATTCTCTCTAGAACAGACGACTTACCTGTGGCTAGACACCAGAAAGATAACAGGTTTAAGGAGCCTTTTGTTAGAAAAAACTCGGGGTGGTGGTGAGGGGGGCAGTCTCACTATACCATACAGACTGGCCTCCTGAACTCAGCAATCCACCTGCCTCAGCTTCCTGAGTGTTGGGCTTACAGGCATGCCCCAGCAGTCTTGGAAACGTCCTACACTGCATCTTGGAATTTCTTACAGCAGCACTAGGGAGGCAGACCTTTAGATCAAGGATAATGACTCCAGGACCAAATTCCTGACTTCCCTACTGCCCACCTCCAGACCAAAGGCCTCTGGATCCTAAGCTGTAGGTACAGACCATGTGACCTACAGGTTCCTCCAGAGTCCAGTCCAACCACTGAACGGGAGTCCAAAGGTCCCACGCTGACTTGGGACTCAAGGGACACAGAGGGCCTTCTATGCACATGACTTTCATGCAGCCCCAGCCAGCTTTAGCCCTTCAGGCTTCAGACCCTCAGGTGCAACATTCTGTACAAAGGAGCCACTCTCCTTCCCCATTCTCTCTGTGAAGATCATAGGTAGCTGGACTCTGTATATAGCGAGGCTGCTGGTGTCATCTTGAATGGTTACAGCCAGGGGCCTAGAGTCAGTCGGGGCTGTCAGGGCAAGGGGAGCAGAAGACTCCTCTGTTTGAATACTCAGAAGATCCATTTGGTGGGAGTGATGGCTACGTCAGGAAAGTGCTTAGGACCACCTCGCCCAACCTCCAACTGCCACTGGGGCAGGCCTGGCAGCTTTGTGTGAGTCAGCACCTTCCTCAAGCACCAACATCTCAGCCCTTCCATGTCTCTCCTGCCCATGCCAGAGAGGCGAGAAGAGTCAGCAGTAGCGTCATTTGGCCATGGCAAGATCTGGTTACATCAGGAGCAGAGGGTACCCCAAGTTTTAGAAGCCTGCTCACATGAAACAACAAAGAGGGCAGACTTTGGAACCGAACTGGCTTTCTCTCATCCTTCCGCCCCCCAGGATGAGCACATCAACAGACAGCCATCTCACACACAGAGGAGCTTGGCTGAAAGATGAGATCACAGAAGGCAACAGTACTTCGAAGTGGTAGCCCATATACACGGTAAATTTTAACACAGGGCAATAAAAAGGTCTAATGTCCTCCTGAACTCCTGAGGCTGCCCAGCTGGCTGCTGGTGCCTCAGTCACCAGCTCCCCTATACCCCAGCACTCAGTGTTCCAGACACACGGATGGAGATCTGTTTCGATCTCTCTTAATTGCCTGGGCACTCTCTGGACCCCTGCCTCTGTGGGCTGCTCTGCCAAGAGCAGTAACTGCCTGTCACCAGTTACCCACTTAAAATATCAACGCCCATCCTACTGGGTGGAATGTCACTCACCGAGATTTCAAGACCCGAGGCAGGAAGGTTGGAGGCTGGCCTGGGCTACACAGTGAGATACTGTCTCTAAAGAACCCAAAATTGTACCGGAATGTCAGCGTTCCCAAACACAAGCTCTTATGAGGACGGGCCAAGTAATGTCTGCCAACAACCCAACATGGGGTCTAACACTGCAGCCCACTACGCTTACCAAAACCAAAGAGCGCTGCCTCCTGCTTGTAATCCTAGCACATGGGAGGCGGAGGCCGAGAGATCAGGAGTTCAGTCATCCTCAGCTTCTTAAGGAAGCTGAGACCAGCCTAGGCTCCATGAAACCCAGTCTCAAAGTGCCAAAGCAAAGCTGGTACCAGGTAGCAGCATGCACCCACAGTCCCAGTGACTTGGGAGACTGAGGCGGAAGGCTCATTTGAGCCTAGGAATCTTGACAAAGCCAAATATAGCTTTGTCAAAATTATATAGTACACTGTCTCAAAGAACGACACACCCAGTACTCAGGAGGCAGAGCAAAAAACATTAGGAACTCAAGGCCTGTGTAGGCTATGAGACCATATTTAAAAAAAAAAAAAAAATCGAAAGCCTTGGGGCTGGAGAGATGGCTCAGTTGGCTCTTAGCACTAGCTGAAGCCAGGTATGGTGGTGCACACCTTTAACCCAGCACTCAGGAGGCAGAGGCAGAGGCAGAGGCAGAGGCAGAGGCAGAGGCAGAGGCAG